TACAATAGCTGATTCACGTGTAAGTAAATCTCTACATGTATCATCTGCAGATAGATAAACTTCATTTGGCGGTATAGATTGTTCATCACGTTTTGTTTTTGTATAAGACTAAATGAAATAATTAGTTGTTTCTATTTATCTCAATAAAACTTCTTACAAAACAAACAAATCGTTGTCGATCAATACTTCGAGCAACAACATAATTTATAATTCCATCAGTAAAATGTGCAAAACATGTTGCTTGAACATCTGTGAAAAGAAAATTTTCTTCTTTTTTTTTTATGTTTTAAATATTTTTTACTTTGATTAGTTGGACATCGATTATTATATGTTAATTGGAATGTATTTGATGAAAAACAATGTTGAAATGATTTTAATTGACATGATGTTGATAATTGATGATTTTTTTCGAAATACCATGATTGTTCAAATGGACATGGAGTTGATTCAGCATTATCTAACAAAATAGTATATAATCGAATTAATGCTTTTCTTAATAAGATGTATATGTAGCAATTTTCCTCTTTTTTTTCGTTCATATAAGTTCATTTTCATAGAGCGAGCTCGCGGCGCCGGGAGCTTCGCTAATTTCCTGTGTTTATTTAGGTCAGTGAACATTCATCTATTCTATATGTATATTATGTCGGTCAGTGTTTCGTCTGTTCACCAGAGAGTATATTATCATTGCCTATGGACGTTTTTCCTTTTTATCCTATCACGCACGCACTACCGGATTTTCTTTTTCTATTAATTAATATCAATTGTGATAGACAGGTTATATATTTTTAGTTTTGATTTTATCATCTTTCTTCTTACCCCGGAAGAGTGTATATAAAACTGTATCAGGCGTGATTGATCCACAAATACGTCCATTGTCATCGTCTGCATCGAAGCATTCGCCTAGAAGAAAAAGACAAGTCCATCATTACGACAACGGAAGTTAAAAGAAGAAGAAGAAAAAAAAATCTTGCATAAGGCATATTGTCAAAATATGTCAGTTGTCGAACGGAAGTAAGCATGACTACGTGACTATAGTTTGTAAATGAAACATTGTATGTCTACATATATATATATATATATATAGAGTATCAATAGAGAAAGATCTCATCATTGTACAGTGATCGACGGTAATTAAGAGATACTTACTTTCTCGATATTGTAATGCATTTAAATGTCTGGGAATAAATAAAACACAACGTTTACATCTTGTTTGTCTAAAAATGAAAAGATATAATAAATAAACAAAACAATACAATACAATCAAAAATTGTCGTTTTTCTCTCTCTCTCTTTTGCTAGTATTCTATTGACATACATTTTTGCCCTTTCACTAAGCTTAGTTTGAAACAATGTATTTATTTTTGCATACATGCCTGACCCGATTCCAAGTCAAACAAAGAATATAAATATATATATATGTATAAGAGAGAGCAGACGATGAAATCGTGCAAGGTTATTAAATGGATGAACAGCTAAAGCAATTTCGATTCAAATCGTTTTATTCATCGTCTGTATATAAATTGAACTTATTCTACTACTAAATATGTCTGGATTGAATAAAGATGAGAAAAAAAAGATAGTATATAACGTTTACATCATTTGATATTAAACAGTTCAATTTAGTAAGACAAAAAAAATAAAAAATATGTAACATACTCATTATAGAAGATAAATTTATTTTTGACATCTTGTTGTCCAACAGTACTAATACACGTTCCTTTTAATGAACACGATGTATTATTGATTGTTATCAAATCGACAAGACCCGGCTGTATCCATTCGCCGACAAACGGTGCCGAAATAAAACAGGTCGGCAATGATGAAGTTGATGAAAGACCTAAAACAGACAGGAAAAAAAGATAACAGATCTTAATCATACACTAATCGATCCTGACATTTGTCTACAAATACATAGTGAGTAATCACTACTAGTTATCAAGTTAAAATATGATAAATGAAATCGAACAATTTTCTTGTCAAATATTCATACACGTGTTAAATGACAATATATATCTATATTTTAATTCTTTTAACCTTTTCGTTTTTTTTGTTATATTTATTAAACAATAATGATGATAAATGAGAGTAACCGACTATTCTCAATTTATCAACAGTGGTCATCGTCTCAATAAGCACTTGAACCGTTTTTCTTTCTCGCTCGCTCTTGCTTTTATAAGTGTACTAGTGACGCAAGATTATAATCCTGACAGATGCATATATACAGTAGTCATAATCATTATTTCTTTTCAAGACAAACCATATTGACTTGCCTAACCGATAGAATAGATATAAACAGAACAAGTGCAATTTCATAAAAAGAAACGTATGAAATGTTATTGTTTCATACAACACACAATAGTGTATATAGGGAAAAAACAATCAAATTGCCATCAGCTTGTCGACGCCTCCCTCTTTCTTTTTTTGCTTTAACATACGAACAACATTCACATAAATATATTTTTAATACGGAAATTGAAAATCGATTTTTATTCTCTTCTCATTTGAATAGCCAACGGCGATTAAAATAGCTCTTTTTTTTACGCCTAATTGCATAGTGAAACTAATTTTGGAGTATAAGTTACGTCATTGAAGAAAAGAAAATTACTTTTAAAAATAGCATGGCTCAATGGATCTTTTCAGAGATTTAAATTAGTGCACCTGTCTGAGAACAAGATTTAATTATATGATGCGATTGATAATCTTCTTACTCTTGGGAGACAAACATAATAGAAACTTACCGAAAGTCAATAACATTAGATATATGTGTAGAATTTTACAGGTAATCATGGTCATCGATCGTCATCATATGATTTTTGAAATAACATTTTGTTTTTCTATTCATAATTATACATCTAAAAGAAAATACATAGAATATTGTATATGACTGTTGTCTCCCACCTATGGTGAACAAGAGAGTCGAGATGTCTGTCTATTCTATTGTCATCTCAAGACACCTGTTACTTCGATATATATATATAAATGTATGTGCCATATACTTACGCTTGTCATTTTTTTGTTCAACGTAACGACAAGCATCAATGTAGTCTTTGTTGCTCTCTCATCATGTCGCAGAACTAAACTTAATTGTGGTAATAAAGAAAACGAGAAAAGGAGAGACGATTTCGTTCATCCATTCTTTTTCTCCTTCTTTCTCCCCCTCTCTCTCACTCTCGTTCTGTTCATTGAATGCAA